AAAATGTGCTAAAATTGCATACTCATGTCCTGCTTTGGCATTCCGGGGTCAGCCATCAAGGATGTCACTAGTCGTAGACATTTTAGTGGCGTTAGGTGCTGCAAATGCCAAAATAAAGGGCTCATTTTAAGGCCCACCTGCGAATATCGCGTTAATGTCGTAGCACTAGCAGATCTGCACAACTCCAAATGAAATTACTTGTACCAACAATAAGGCAATCACACCACACTAATTAAAACACCTTGCATTTAAAACCTTCACCCGTCTGGATGCTTCTAGCATAACCAACTCTACAGGATGGCAGAGCGATCAACTCTTTATCTATCTAAATTACCTAAAAATCGCAAAATTTTTATTAATGAATTAACTTTGAAGGCAAATTTAGCAGTCGAAATGATGTCTTGTCCAGCGCACTTAAACAGTGATGCTTGGTTTTCCTGTTTAGTTTATAAAAATGCAAATTTAAAAAGCATGCTTTTACTGACATTATGAGACCGGTAAAGTACTCATTGATGTGTTTTGTATAATTTGTAAGTAAAGTGACTTAACTTTCAAGCCTAGTTCCACCCTTTTGGAGGCCAGCAAACACCGCAGCGCGTAAGTACCCTTTGCGAAATCATTTACACATGACACCCGCTAAATAATTATCATCATCACCATGTGACCCAAAAAGCAAAAAGGACATTCCACTCGCCTTTGTGTGCAAAGGCAAGACTTGAGTCATCTAGCTTAAAACAAACGACAATCGCAATCACCAAATGCTTACCACGCAGTCGTCTTTTCCATAGTCACAGTAATGACGACATCAGCTGCTTGACTTCCGGTGACTGGAAACACTGACATTAGTCCTGCCATCCAAAGAGCAGTGAAAACGTCAAATCTCTAATGGCCATGTTTTTTTACCTCTAGTTTGGGATGTTAAATCTGTTTCTCTTAGGTCAGCAGCAATGTTACACAAGACCCAATGTCTTTAAAGCGGTCTTTACTTGTCGCCTTATTTTATGGACTACAAAAGCCCTATTTAAAATCCTTAAGTATGCTGAAAACTAAGTTTAACAGGATGTGTTATAGTTTTCAGTCACCGTCCCCGTAAGCTTTAGATGATGCTGCTCTAGTGGCTTCTTAAGCACTGAAACAAAATCAAATTTCTGACCTCATTGTTGATTTTCCCAGCTCCCATGTGTTGTGAGCATCTTCTCTAGTGATCCTTTTGTAATTAAACAGCACTGAAATTAAAGGAGAAGAAATAATTGGTGGTTTACTATACTTTCTGAGCGAAAGTGTGTGAACATGCGGACTCTTTGTGTTAAGGGAAAGTTAAAACTTGCATGAGCACAGTGCTAAATTTTAATTAATTTGAGAAAACAGAAAATGACTTATTTTAAAGGTTTTCTCCAAATCTTACTTTAAACTAAAAAATACCTTTGCTATGGCCCTATGGTTAGTCTTGGCACCCAATTATATCGCAATGCCTCAGTCTCACGGTAGCTGGTGCCTTGTAGCGTCTAAAACTGTTGCGATGACTTGCGCGGGAGATGTGCCAAGGGAATGACAAGGAAGTTACTCAAAATAAGAGACACTGCAATAATTTGTCTATGTGACCACTTAATGACTAGCGATTACTTTGATATTCCTCTTGTACTTGTACGCGTTAGCTGACTCTAGGGTCAAACCAAAGCCCAATCATTTTTCTGCCCTGATTAAAATTATTCAGTCTAACTTAATACCTTCTACCGCCCATTGGGAGAACTTAGGGAGCCACAATAAGAATAATTAGTGATTTACAGGCAATGTGTTGCTAACTTCGAGAAGTGATGAACTGGATACCGTGGGAAAGTTATAATTACACTCCTGAAGGATCTAACTACTAGCCAACTCAAACCCAGCTTTCATCAACAGCTGAAAAGTTACGAATTAAAATGTTGTAGAAGGAACAGATATCCTATGCGAAAGTTTCAATTGCTAAAAAATGATACTATAACGTAAGGGCTAAGGCATAAAAAGAGTTCATGAAGAAATCTAACTTAGTAAGCACTGTAATACTTGCCTTAAATGGTGCAAGCAGTCTATATTATTTAAAATAAATCTATCCTAGACCTAAATAAATTTACTTATTTAATACAGAATGTAGTTTTAAAAATTAAACTTTTTTAAATAAAAATGAGAGCTAATAATGTCGTTTTAATAACGACCTTGAAGTTATAAAGTAAAGTTGATTAGCGCAGTAAATGGTTTTAGTCGTAGTGCATGTGGTGGGTGCTTTCCAATTGAGGTGGGAGTTGGGCTGATGGGAGATGCATAGAAATGTTAAACTCTCTCGATTCATTATTAGATAGAATAGTCGTGAGTGGCGAAATGTGTAGTATTTCTGTTCTCATTTGCGAACTTCGTGTTCTCACAGAACCTTAGGAGCCACTTGCAAAAAACTAATCTAGTTGTTTTGGGCAATTATCTACCTGCAGTCAGCATCTCATTAGATTTTGGCAACAATTTCGTGGCATTGTATTGAGGGGGCTGAATTCGGGTTCCTTAACTCTCGACGGAATATTGGCCGGGGTTGCTTGCCTAGCTCTTAGATCTGAACCTAAAATTACTAAGATCGGAAAAGCAGGGTGAAGGAACACGTCTTACGTTGTGAGATGAGCGTGCATTTTTTGAGCACTTCTACACTAAGTGTCTACTGCTTAAAGGTGCTTCTGGACAAACATTAAGTACTTCGTCATGTTAAAGCCATCAGTATTACGCAGTTGCCTTGCCGGTATCCTATATCGTTAATTCGGTTCGATCTTCATGTATGAGCTGAATTTTGGTAAAAGGTTTATGCTCACGCGGCTCAAAGGCTTTCGTGTATTTTTTTTAATGATTGGTGCAAATTAAGTTTCAGAAAGACATTGCATGATTCCGATCATTACTTGTAAATTATACCGTCCTGAGTTGCTTTAATTCATATCTTTCAAAGTTTTTCGATAGTGTTTTTTGTTCGGAGGACGTGTGCATCAATGGGACTGGTCATTTTCTTGGGATTAAATTTTCATTTTATATAAGCTGAAGATCGATAGAACATTTTAGAAAAAGGATGCATTCGGAGGGGATAATATTGATGATTGTCTCAATACATTGCGTGAATGGGTTGTTTGTCATGCAATAGCTATGCAGCACTCCTGATCAAGGAAACAACAAGTTATTTTGAGCCTTAGTCGCAGTCTCCAATCAGGCATTTTTAGTGGATATGATCTCAGTTACTGGTGTACGTCTCCTGTTCAATATGCACTATTAATGCGATAATATCTGTTTGTTTGTGCAATATCAATATTTGTGCGGAACGTTCATGACTTAATGGTGTTTTAGAATGCTATGAATTTGTTTCACGATAATCCAAGGGAAATGTCTTGCAGAAGTTGCTGTCTTAAAGGGACAACGGAATCTCAGCAATGCTGTGAGCTAAACAACTTGAGAGTCAACTCGAATTCGATGGAAGTAAACTTTTATCTTTAGTCTAAAACTCTTTAACTCCTACATATTGGGAGAACAATAATGACCGTTCGTCGATGCGTAGAGCATTTTCATGATCTTATCGTTTCCAGAGCATTCCTTCCCCTACTTTAAAGCTCGATCAAATTTTCATTAATATTCAGCATGGCCAAATGAAGGGTATTGCGTCATTTGTTTACACTGCGGCTTTAGCAACGGGGTCATTTCGGGTCTCTGTTATTAAGCCCCCTATTCATCCAGGTGTGTTGACTTTCGGGTCAACGCCTGTTGTCATAAGCCCTGCTGTGCGATGACTTCATGCATTCTATCTGAGTAATGCCTAATTAAGACTTCGAGGTGCTACTGAGGTAATCGAATTGTGCAGCGCTGTTTGGAGCAATGACTACTTTTAGCACAAGTCTATTATAATTGTGCGTCTAAAAGTCTGAAGAATCATTAAATGACCGTTATAGTGGGGGTAAATGCAGTCGCACACCTTCTATTCAATAAAGTCGAATTTGCCACTTATTATAGACTTTTAGATTTTTATTCAACGCAAGGCGAACACAAAGTCGCAAAGTCTCAATTATTTGCTCACTTCCTAGTCACGTCATTATGCCGCTTCTTCATAAACGCAAGACCTGTAACACGTAGCTCAAGCAACTCCCTTCGGCTAGAGGATAATATTTCCACCACACAACTTTGGCAATCAAAAGATGCCAATATTGTCTGGGTAGAAAAATATTATCAGAATTAACGGGTTTCTCCTACTTGTAGGCTTAAGTGAGATGTGTCGTCCTCGTCATATCTACAGGCTATCTTATTATCCTATAAGTTGGTTATCCCCAATGTGGCGGCATGGCGCTTACAGAAGAGGGAAGATTCTGGAGGGATCATACTAAGACACTGCTCAAAATCTTATGACGCATTTAACAGTAACTATACGAAATGGTGACTTTAACAAAACTTTGCTATGTATTTGCACTAGTGAATGCATAAATAAATGCTAAAGAGCTGGAAGTGATTATGTTGCACTAGTCCAGGCGATATAAATAAGACACAAATACACTGCATAAAGGGAAAAAGACCCAGTGAAATCGAAATATTGTGGACAACATTTCCCAAAATCCAATGAAGACAATGTATGCGAAGTGGTCAACCAAGTCTCCATAGCCCCTAAGAATAAATAGCTACTCTCCAGTCAATTCTCAGCGTCATCAACATTCCACACCAGTCATAGCAACTTAAGCGTCATCAACTTTCCATGAGGTAGGAAAGATAGCAAAACACAACACTCTTGCATTCTCCTGGTAATTCTGCCCACTGTAGACTTTTGCTCGGTTCGGTTAGTGGACTATAGTGAGAAAGGAAAACGACAGGAAAATTATACCAGCTACTCCTCCTGTTTGTAGCTAGGAGTTGAGATACTGGCCTAAAAGTAGATCTATGGACTGGAGCAAGGAATTCGCCGTAGTTCTGTGGAGATAGCGTTTTAAGTCCGTTCACGATGATGGCATCGTTAGACGGATATGGTGGAGGATCGTGGCGGCAATTTCATTCTGGACGACTTGGTTCCTGATGAGTATGTTGTCTCGCCCTGCCATGATCATCTTCACGAGATTAAGGTGATCGCGGAAGGTAGGCACCATTCCATCCTTCCAGTTGGGGATCAGCAATGATTCTTCTATTCCTAGTAATGCACTCATTCCGCCTTGGTAGTGGAAATCAAAATGTAAGTTAATTCACCACCTCCCATCACCAATACGGAGTTAGAGATTATCTTCGACCGAGAAAAGGCTAAATCGTTGAGTAGAATGTGGATGTTGATAACAGAAAGGAGTAGGAAATGTGGTACGCTCAAAGAGTCCGTCGATCCAGAACAAGCCGAATTCAAGAGCCCAAAGGCAAAATCGGTATTACTATTACATGCATCACTCTCGCAAAGCAAATAGTTCGCCAATAGCTGTGATAAATTTTATTTTGCTAGACTTAACGGCTTTCAGGGATTGATTAGAGCTATTCTGATGAGAAAGTTATGCCGGTGCTTGAAATTACAAATTTAAGCAAACTAAGCACTAATAAAAGGAACCAGGAGGGACGGGTCGACTGATGATCACAATTGACGGCAAATAGGCAAGTACGCTTTTTTTGTGTGTGGCGATATACTTTTAACTTCGCTGATCATGTTAATCAACAATTCATTCAGTTTGCATGCACAAATTCAAGCAACTGTAGATCGAATTGCGCATAAAAAAGTGAATGATAAAGTTGCAAATCTCTAAACGTTTCCCTCGTCGTCACCGCTGTTTCCTTCGATATCCCAACTTTTATCCCACCTCGGGGAACAACAAAGATAGAACGGTGGAGGAAAATCTGATAGCAAACTGACAGCCATACACCGCTATAATTATTAATGTTTTTAGGTCCAACGGAAAATTAATTAGCCAATTTTCGTTGTTTTGTTTGTCAAGTTGCCCCAGCGACATGTTCTGGTTGTTGATGCCAATTTTCAGCCAACACATACACAACTGCCTTAGTAAAACACCAATTTAAATAACTTCTCTAGCTGAAGCGGTAGGCTTACGAAGTCGGTTTAAGAAGTTTGCAATGGCAGTTTGTGGTTGGATCGAGTAGGTACAAAATAACCGCGCATTACAATTCGAATTAAGGCGGTTCATATTCCGCCTTGTTGACTGTTGCATTCCAAATACGCAAGGCGATATTTAAAACAATCAATCTCACTTTCTCTCTTGTATTTTAAAATTCCTTTCAGCCTCTAATCTAAAAGTTTAATGTGCATTATTTTTCAATAAACACGATAAACTGCGATAAGAACCGTTGTAAAAGTCTGGTATTGTGATGGTTAAAACTATAAGCCTTTCGATGCTTCCTACTCCGGGAAATTAGCAGAATGTTACGGCCATGATCCAAGTGCAGAGCTCGAAAAAAAGGTCACCTCAAAAGCCAAAACCTTAATGTGACAAGGTGTACGAAGCTCACTTGGGCCATCCTAATGCCAGTGAGATACATCTGAACATTGATTCGTCAGACCAAGAACGCCGAAAAATGGCTACATTTGGTTACAATACTTTGACCTACTATCGTTAAAGAGTCAATTCATATTAATCAAAATAAATAAAAAAAAGCTCTTGCTAAGTGCAAACAATTATGCTGTGGTATAAAACTCGGCTTACAAACGAAGGATAATAATTGAAGAAAGTGCATGAATGTGTTTGCCCATGCAAACGCAGTGAACCCAACGAAATTTTTCTCATTTTAACTTAATGATTGATAGTTTATTTATGTAACCACCTGTATGACTGGCAATCACTTTAGCATTTTCCTTACCCTTGCACAATTTGGCTGGCCCGAGGCAAGCCAAAGCCCAATCGCCCCACCAACTGCCTGCACTGATGGCAGTGGAAGGCAATTCCTTCATGTTGCAACTTCCATTCGGGTGTCTACCATGTGTGACACTTCTGCGGTGCGAAGAAAAGCATTAAGTTTGAGCGGGAGGTTCTCCAAATCCCTCACACCAGAGGGCTTTGGAATGCTGTTTGTGCTTGTCTGTGTCCCATTCCCGTGTCCCACAGACAAGCTATTAACCATTGAAGCGATATTGTCGTGAACCATGCGGACAGCTTCGTATCGGAGTT